AATACATGTGTTAATTAAAATCTGGTATCAAATCAAGTGATTGTATATTTCACACAATCCATTATCAATAATGTTAAGTTGCGAAATAAATTCACAGTTAATCTTTTTATATGCTTTCTATTAATTGTAAAGTATAAATATAAAAACTAATGAATGATTTGAGTATAAATCAAATTAATATTTTAATACATGGAGCACTTGGTTAGTTTTCAATATTTTCACCAGTATTGCTAATAAAGTTCGTACAATATTAGACTGACACTGTTAACTAATAATGATAATAACTTATTATAGGTATATATTTAATGGGATTTTTATATTTTTATCTCTTCGTCGAGTAGACAATACATAAAAAAGATTAGTTTTTAAGTATAATAAAGATTTAACTTTTTATTGAATGCGAAACTGAGATTAAGCCCTTAAATGATAGTTTTTTAAAGGTTAAGGTTTAGAGATAACTAATACTCTTTATATCAATTGTATACCTGTTTATTGTTTACTTTTATTGTTGTTTTACACAACTTTGACATAAGTGTACATTAGATAGTTTTTCATAGAAATCTTTAAACATTATTATTTTTGTAGATTTAATATTAAATAAATAATAATGTTTATAACTTGCTCTAAAATTAAATAATTAAAAATGTAAATTATTTAATGGTTAGATAATTATATTGGTATACCAAAGTACTTTACCATGCCAAAGTACTTTATATTATTAATATTGGTCACATTTATTTTGTCACACAATAGTATAGTATTTTGTGGTTTGAGTGCAAATATAATATGAAAAGAAGTGGGAGTTATTTAATGGACTTTTGCGTGAAATGAAACTCTTGAGGCATACAGAATGTAACCAAAGAAAGTAATTGATATAAAGTTGTGTATTATTTAAGTATACAGTAGTCAAACCTATAAATTTATATCCTGGTGATTAGGGCAGTCAATGTTCAATTTTATCAAAACTTTAAATCCATCACATTTCACATAATATTATTAGTGATAAAATTGCAGGATATTTACTAATTATTACTATACATTTAGCAACCAAAATCCATTTCACTATTATTATATAATCACAATAATTTGAAGGTTTAAAAGCTTGTTTTAAATATTTTATTAATCAATTTTATTAGGCAAATAATACTAAATGCCCAATAATGCCCAATTAATACGATAATGAATTTCATTGCCGTTTTTTCAAAGAAATAATAATTGAAAAACACTTAAGATTATATTGTAATCTTGTAAATGATTTAATAATAATCACATTATTATTATTTAATATTATTTTGTATTCAAGTATCAAATCAAATGACGCGAATTAGTGCTGGAAATCAATGAAAATGCAATCAATTTCAGCATTTTTATTGCCGATTATGAATAGATTTCAATTAACGTATTATTCTTTGTGTGAATCTCTGAAATACTTAATTACAAACAAGTGTCTGATGTGTAAAATGAAAGGATTTGATTTCTCGGTTCACACGAATCGTCCACTAATAGCATATATTTTATTGCTTTTCATAAATCAATGCATTTGCATATATGTGCCCCGAGATGTGATTGACGAGGACTCGTGTACACCGATTGACTTTTATGGTAATTTAGTCAAACATAATTTACTTATTTTTATAAATACTTTTAAAATATGAAATAATTTGAATAATGTGTGAATATAGCGGGTGATAGTTATGCTTATATAAACGATGACAATCGGTATGACATATGTAAAGACAAATACCGAACTTCATTTGATCCAAATGGCAATCAAATCCCTAGAGAAGTAATCACCACAATCTCAATACTATTACTTCAACTAACGTTAATATAATATAAATGTCAATTTCTTGATTGTAGTGTTTGGGTCCGTTTTGTAATTATTTCACGAGTCTTAACCCCTGTAAAACTCAATGCCCTCTCTATCCTAATCCGGTTCTTGTTATTCAACCCCTTCTTAATAACAATTCTACCGATGAAGAGGTGTATAGAAAACAACAGCTTTATTACGATTTTGATAATATGTGCACAAATGACAAATGCGCTAAAATTAAGACAACGTATTACAAAGAATTTGTATTAATCAAAGACCCGTCACAACAATGCGGTCCAAATCATGTAATTATAATACTATTTATGAACCATAAATTATAATACCAGTATCTATATTTAAATTATATCTATTATTTCACTTATATATAGTTTTGTGATTTAAATGGCTGTTGCGTTATAAAGCCTCCAACACCACCCACTACTACCACAACTACCACAACCACCACAACCACTACAACTACTACAACCACCACAACAACCCCGACCACCACTACCACTACCACTACAACCCCAACTCCACCTACACCTACAACCCCGACCACTACTACTACTGAGAAGCCATTGATCCCAGAGTGCACAAGCGTCGGGACATTTAAATATCCAAAGGATAAGACAAATAGAAAGTACTATAAGTGTGTATTGAAACCCCAAACGATGGTCTGTCCATTAGGAGAGATATTTGTTGAAAAACATTCTCGATGTGAAGTTGAACTCATAACCACTCCAACCACACTCTCCACTACAACCTCTACCACCACAACCACTACAACCCCGACCCCAACGCCCACAACTCCGACCACAACTACTCCAAAGCCGACCACACCTTACAATCCGAGCGGTGATCCGGAAATAAGAGGATTGAAATGTGCGGAACACGTCAGTCCATTGCCTTACGACCAGTGGTTTGCAAATCCATACAATTGCCAAAAGATGTATCGATGTTATACGTTAGGAGAGGCGCCCAAAGTTTATATAGCATTTTATAGATGCAAGGATAATATGTATTTTGATAATGATCCTAAAATTGACACTTGTATCATGAAAGACGATTATATTTTAAAATACGGTTCGTGCAAGTCTATGCCATTGCCCACAACAAAACCACCTTCTTATTAACAAACTTAATTGTCCCGGTATTCCAGTATTCACTTTTGTTATCAAATATAAAAAACGTATTCTAATTGTTACCAATAAATGCTAAAGTAATTTAAGTTTATACTAAAAACAACACATTTGTTAAAATAAAAATTTTGCTTTTTTCCTAAAAAAGGTCTTATTATTTATATTTTATATAGAGTTTAATGACTCGAAGTGACAAAAAAAACTGTTGAAACAAATAGAAAGCAATGGAAAGATTGAAGGGAAGGCAGGTTTTTGAACCATAAGTTATTCTCAATTAAACAAATGTTTGTTTGTGTGGATGCGATCACTTCTCTCCAGAGATTTCATCGCAATTTTCTTCAAGAATATTGACTTTTAGTCCGAAAATATATAACAAATACCGACCACACGAGTGATCCTTAAATGATATTTGTTTATTCAAACGTTTAGGAGTAAAAATTAATTAATGAAATAAAATATAATGGAAATTATGTATCGTTTTTATTGTTTTTTGAAAAACACATTTTATTTACAAATAAATAATTGTTATTTAATTGGACACATGTTTTTGTTAAAAAATAAAGTTTACATAATATTGATTGTAATGAATTGTTTTGGATTGTTTTGAAGACTGGCATCACTTATAGATTTGTCACAACAAGAGAAATGTATTGCATATTAACATTGCTAAGGAGAGTGCGCTTCGGTTTGTATTTTGCTATAATGTGCTACAAAACTACGGGTCCTTCCCTACAGTCGGTGCCTAATAAATAAAAGAGAGAGACTTTATGTGATGATAAAATTGTGATTTATTCAAATGCAATGATATCTTATGATATTAAATACAGACATTGACTATCACTTAAGCACTTCCCACACATACACTCACATATATAGACACTTACATACACTCCGGTTCTTACAAACATGCATTCGTTGTATGAGTTTATCGTTTTTAAAGGTTTTCGCATTATATTAAGAAAATTGTATTGATTTGAAGAGCAAATCAATATAAGACACGAATAGATAAACATTGAAAAAATTCTTCATTTCATTCGTTCGCTTATTTTGCTTAATATTTTATAAATAGATTCTGCGATAAAATGAATGTCTTATCAAGTCTTATGAATTAGTGTTAGAATTACTTTTTAAAACTGATAGACAGAGCAGAGGGTCTTAATTATCATTCATTATTATCAATATTTAATTTATAAAGACTGCCGAATATATT